GATGACCACACTGAAGGCAATGATGTTCAGAATGAATGTTTCATTTAGTGTGTCCTATTATAGAGGTCACCTGACAAGAGAGTAGAAATGCAATTGTACAAACATTTGACAAATACTTGCATACATTGAGTACGGTACTTCAGATCGCAGGATGCAAAATGGTCCACACACAGTGGACCAACGTCTTTTGGGGACACATGTATTCCTTAGATGGTATTAAAGGTAAAAGAGGCCGCTTGGGCCTGAATGTGTGTGTGTGTGTGCGTGTGTTGCTCCCTCAAGATGGAGTGGACGTGTGTTTGGGCTTCCAAAGCGTCCTCTTCCTTCTTTAAGAGTAAATCTACCATCAGTTGTTTAGACTCGCATGTTCCCCCCCCGTTCTGAATTTGAAAAGCTCTGAAGGTTTTTGTCATTTTCGCTTAACGTTTCAATTCCATTGCCTTGTGCACGTGATGTGCTTCGTTCATAAAAACATTGATTGATTTGTGAGTTACATGCCACATTTACTGCATGACTGTTCATCAGAAGGACTGCCCGGATTGGAGGCTTAAAAGGAAAGAAGACAGGGCTATCCTAGTTAGGGTTTTTTTTTTTTTTTATGGAGTCATTCATCAAGTCTGACATTGATTTTACTATTTAAGGGACTTTAAAGTCCCAAAGCGTGACGATTTAGGAAAGAATTTGTATGATTTAGTATCATCTCATGGTGCCCTCAGCCCCAGATCCCGCTGATGAGAAAGTTGGGGAAAAAGCAAATTTTTCTTGCAAAGTCGTAAATAAATGATAAGAATAAATATATAGGCCAAAAAAAAAAATCATTAATAAAATGAAAAAAAAAAACACTATTTAGCGGACTTCAAGGTCTTACTCTCTACACTCTTTAGGGAGGATTAGATTCCCCCCCCCGACAGATGGCACTGAGGGGGAGCACAAAAACAAAAACTCTCTCACGGTGATTTGATTTAGCAAATATTTTGTTTTTTTTGTGTTCTTTAACATTGCTTCCCCCCTCCCCCATTGTCTTAAATAAATTTCCCCCAAAATTATTTGACTTAAGTCCCACAGTGATACTTTTTCGATATGATTCGAATTTATTTTATTTAATTATGATGATTAATTAATTGAATTCATTTATTTTATTAGTATTGCCGTGGTGCCCTTCTACGTCCATCAGAGGGTACTGTCCTGGAAAAAGCCCCCCCACCCCCTCTTTTTTTTTTTCCTTACAATATGATTCTGGGAGTAGATGTCACACAGACTTTGTGTTGTTGCCACCTTTTCTTGTCCTTTCTCATCTGTGTGGGGCAGTGAATGGAATGCTCTGCCCAAAATTAGCGTTGAGATTACCTACGAGGCATTTGTGATTGTTTGTTAGTTATTGAGAATAGTTCTGAAATTATTATATAGTTCTGAATTGAATGTTTTAAAAACAGTTTCATTGCTCTTGTGCTTTTTTTTTCCCCCGCTGACTTTCTGTCTCTGTCACCTTGCCTTATCGTCTCCAGTCTACTATGTGGTGCGGTGACGCAATCTGCCCAAAATTGCGAAGAAAACAAACTATAATGAACATTACCGGTCTATACGAATTCTTTTTCAACTCGGGGGGCAGTCATGCTTTTGCCCTACACATTTTCCGCCTAGCAACAAGACCAAAAGTCTTGCAGGCAACTAAAAAGGCATTTTATGATGAAGGAAGACCTTTTGTTTGTTTGTGGCGATTTGTCCTGTATGGCCGCTATTTTAATGACGCCTCATAATTGTTAAACCCGCCATTCATTGACAGTACAGATCGCCCATTAGCCTCCCTTTCATACTTTTAGTCTCCCGAGGAAGCATGTGGAATGTTGATTCATGACAATCTAAATGGAAAGAGGTTATTTTGGGACGGTCACTTTGTGTTGTGCCGGCAGATATTTGCAAGCGTAAACGGTGCTCTCCATCCATGGCCTTGCAGCTTGGCCAAAGCTGGGACCGGAGAACGACAAGGGCGGCTGCATGCGTGCTTCCTTAAAAGGAGGCCGACCGCACCACTGGGCCAGATGATGAGTTGTGCTGTCCTGTCAGGCCCCGAGCAAGAAAATAAATTGCAAGTCCACCTTTTCTCATGCTGTCGGTCAGTGGTTCTCAAATATTTTACCACCACCAAAAATTCTTAGCGCCCTAAGTAAATACAACATAACATAACCAAGAGTAAAATATGTTAGCATAAATTAGAAGGTCCGGGTGTTTATCAAAAACAAGAGAGTTTTATTTAATATCGTCGCAAGCCACTGTAATGTTTGAACGCTACATATTTTGCTTGTGGCTTTTTTTTTTTTTTTTGCTTCTTTCACGCATAAAGTTTTCAACGAACATCAGTTCTCGTGATCAGCATAAAATCTTTATACCGGGTGTAAAATTAAACCCATTTTACCGAAATGTTATGATTCAATACAATAAATAAGCAATTTACAAATGCAGTTTTCATATTGTAAAAGTGATTCAGTTAAAAATGTCAAAATCAGACAAAAATACCTCAAATTACATTTCATTAACTCAGCTAACACAGCAACATTTTTGAAAAAAGGAAGTGGCGGACACAATGACACAAAAAGTACCTAAAAATAATGATTCAAAGTTCACTAAAACTTTTACATTAATGTTTATTCACATCAAATTCAAACGTTAGGAATTTCGAAGTTCAAAACAACTGAACTGTACGTAGTGATTCTTTTGCCTACCACTAGAGGGCGCCCGCTAATTATTAGTGGGACCACTCTTTGCAAATCACTGCGACAGACAAAAATCACTTAATTTGCCATTAAATTGGATGCCCCGAGGATTTTATTTCACATAAAGCTGAAGTGTGAGTCCTCCAGAGCCCTCCAATCTCAGGCCTCATAACAAAACAGGCTTCTTTCCAACTCGAGCGTACGCAAACATTTTAATAGGAGTCGACGACAGTATGTCACGCCATGTAAACAATTTGGAATTTGTTTCCTGGTCAGGGAATTGTTATTTTTTTCCCTCCCCCCCAGGTGACCATGTTTGGTCATGTCGAGGAAGCCGCTGTGACTTGTGGATGGATTGTAAATGCTTCCCGTCAGCTATAAGTGTGCTGCCTCCCCCCTCGTAAAAGTTTCTCAGTGTATTGAGATATGATGCCTTTACAGGTTAGACTCACGGTCTGATTAAGAAGTGCCTGTTCAGATGGAAGACTCTCAAGTGACTGGGTTGCTCAGGCGGTTGCGTTCTGGCGTGATACAGAGTTGCAGCGTAACAGTGAAAGTGTGTTCTGAAACGTGGCCCAGACAGAACTAATCGATTGCCAATCAGGAGAACTCTTCCTCCTGGTGTTGGTATGCAGCGTCATTGTGCGTGCTGGATTCTGGCCAAACATGAGCAATCTGGGATTACGGTGCTGACAAGGCTGAGAGGTCGGTCGCTCCCTGTCTGCTGCGGTCTTTTTATTGTCTTTCATCAGTCCCTTAGAATTTTTGCTTTTATTGCCATGAAAAAGAACCCCAACGGTTAAGTAGTATTGTATTTCACTCACAGAAAATGTTGCCTATTGCTGTTTTGGCAGCATCTCATGGAATGTTGTTGTTAGCTTCATTTTATGAATGGTGTTTTTTTGTTTTGTTTTTTTTGCGTCAGTTTTGTTGTTGTTGGGTTTTGTTTTTTTTGTTTGTTGTTCTTTCCCAAATGACAATGTTCCCTCCCAAAAAAAGGTGAATTGAATAACTTATGTTTGTTGAAAGTGCTAGTGCTAGCATGTTTGTTTGCCCGCGCATGATCTCACATGAATTTGTGCTAGCATGCTATTTAGGCTAGTAAGTTAGCTAACACTATTAATGAGCATAATTTGACGGTTTGTGTGGACCACCTTAACTAGTGAAGTCATCAATGTAACATGGGTTTATGATTGCGTTTGTACTAGATGCATGGTGTTGATGGATTTTCTGATTGTTCTTTGTCTTTCAAAATGGAATCCCAGTCTCCATATCAAATTGCAAGATTATTGGGGGAGGGGTATTATAACAATAAATGTGGAAAATTTAAGTAAGGGAAAAGTTAATCATAGTCAGTGACACTAAGTGCATTTTGACATTATTGTCTGAGGTTTTCACACTGGTGTCAGATTATTTTCGCTGACCCCAGAAGTGAAGTGTTGAATTTTTACATGTGACAAAATGTGTTACAATTCTTCCCTGATGATGTATTCACTATAAGTGTATTATTTGTGACTGTGTATGGCATCATGCACTGCATAGAAATCATATATCACTGTTAATGGCACCCTTATCTTGTTAATGATCATAAACGATCTTCTGTATGACTAAAGTCATGGAAACAATAACAAACACAACATAATGGAGGATGTCAATCAAGCTCAATAGCTTCACTGTAAACCATTGCAAGGCCCGGGGGTTGTTTTTCTCAGGATCATGAAGATCAGCGTTCGTTTGGGTTTCATATTCCTTCATCCCCCCCTCGACGGGATGCCATTAGTCACACTTAGGTTCAAGCAGTGAATAGAAATCACTCATATTATTTGGACAGCAGTCATCTTCGTCTGGAGGCAGGCAATAGATACAGCGTGTACATAAAGACAACTGGAAGTCACGTTATTTTAATCTATGTTCATAATATGAAAAGTGTTTGACGGGCAGTCGGAAACATCAGAAGTGACAAAAGCTCGATGGACTCTGAAATCGACTTCATTTGTTGGTTGGACTAGCCGCTTGTCGCCACAGTGAGTCACTCACACGATTTGTTTGCTACAGTTTTGTCCTTCATTACACAATCCACCATTAGCAATTTTATTTATTTATTTTTAAACCCGGTTTTGGGATTGGCAGTGGCTGGGAATCAAATCCACATCCTGCGCAAGAAAGGCAGCATCATGTACCACTAAACTACAAAAGTTGCGTTTTTTTGGTTTGTTTTAACTGCGGTTACATACATTACCACTTTTAATAAGTGGCACAAGACCCATCAAATGGGTAAACATGTAAACAAGGTGATGTGCAGCAAGAGGCACGACTCTGATGTGTAAAGAGTTGTGAAAAGTGAGACTGAGGGAAGGAGGAGGAGGAGGAGGAGGAAGAGGAGCCAGAAGGAGCCGCTTTTCCTTTTGTGGTAGTTGAAGTCGCTGGAAGAAAAAGGATCAGGAATTCTTTGTGCTACACAAGGAGCGAGATACAATCCAGACTCGGGTTGATATGTGGCGACAAGACGGGCGGGCGTCCCTCGACCAAAGCTGAGCTACTGTTACGGTACTCAATTACACTTTGATTTGCTCTTTTTTGGAGGTGGGGGGCCTTTGACTTTCTCGTGACTGATGTCTGTATTGGATGTACGATTATGCTCTTTGTTGGTTGATCTGAATGTTGTTCTAATTTTGCAGGAGGCATCGGGAATGTGCATTTTATCGGCATGCTGGAAATCAATACTTGAAGAAATAAAATCAGTTGATTTAACTTGATTGTCAAAAAAGCTTGCAGTGAAGCACCACAGTATTTTTCTTGAAATGTGAATTTAGTTTGCTTGAATTAAAATAAATAAATAAATACATAAAGGATGTGAACGCATTGTGATGAGCAACAATAGCACCGGTTACTTTACGGTGGTGCCTTGAGATACTGCCTTGAGAATTTTTTGAGATAGGCCCCTTCAAGTTGTTTATTGACAATTTACCCTATTTTAAGTTTACTTTCAAAGCAAACATAAAACCAAAAGCATCACACATTGTGTTATTTAAATGAACAAACAATGATAGCTGAATGCTAACAAAACTGAAATCCCATAGACAGGCTAATGAATAGCATCTATGGCAAGATTGCCAAACATATTTTTGCATTCCTTTTTTATGCCCTCGGCGCAACTTGCAATTTGGAAACTGAAAATAGACTAACTAGACTTTGGACCACCTCAGAGCAGGTTGGGATATTATTTATCCTCCGCAAAGAACAACAAATATGACTGATTTACGAATATTTGGCTTCTCCATGTTGTGTTATGTCTCCCATAGAGAAAGCGAATCTTTGGGCTATCATGGATGACGACTTTGACCGCCGCATGGAGCTGAGGAGACAAAGGAGGGAACAGATGCGCCTGGAAGCCGAGAAGTGAGTCAAGCTCCATGGAGTCAAGTCCATCACACCAATGTTTTCACTTGTTAGTTTCATCACAGCTTTCACTCACTCAGTGCTCGGACATGTTGAGGGGGATTTTTCTCTAATCCTGTTCACACTACCTGGCTGCCAAAATAGTGCACGTGTCAACAAACATCCACCATGGTTCTTGTCCCCTGAGAGTAATTCTTCTACAGTTGTTCAGACTCTCTGGCTGAATTCCACTTGGAGCAGATTTAGCTAATGATGGATCTTGCACTCCACAAATTTGCCAAAAATTCCATCAATCCATCCATTTTGCGATCCGCTTTATCCTCACAAGGGTCGCGGGGGTTGCTGGAGCCTATCCCAGCTGTCTTCGGAAAGTAGGCGGGGGACACCCTGAACCAGTTTCCAGCCAATCGCAGGGCACACACAGACGAACAACCATCCGTGCTCACACTCACACCTCGGGTCAATTTGGAGTGTTCAATCAGCCTGCCATGCATGTTTTTGGAATGTGGGAGGAAACCGGAGTACCCGGAGAAAACCCACGCAGGCCCGGGGAGAACATGCAAACTCCACACAAACCCACAACACCTGCACTGTGAGGTTGACGCGCTAACCACTGGACTACCGGACTGCCCTCGCCAAATATTAATAAACAAACAAACAAAAAAACCTAATACCGGTACTAAAACTATTACGAATGTAATGAAAAAAAACGAACCATTTTAGAATTCAACATTCAAAACTATTCTAACCCTGGAGCACATTGTACCGTGAGGTACAGAAGAAGACACACAAGACTTGTAGAACACAACACATCAAATATGCGCACGTTGGCTTTTACAGAATGGGCTACACCAACGACGACGATGAGGATGCGGCTCGGGAGGAAAGGAGACGCGCGAGGGAGGAGAGGAAGAAGATGAGAGAGTCGGAAGACTTCGGAAGCAGCGACTCGATCGGCGCCAACGAGTAAGAAACACAAGGCATCGCGCGGGCGACGACCACAACCCAAAGATTTTTTTACAACTCCTCCTCCCCTAACCCTAGTTTTCTGTTGGTTAAGTGAACTGTGTTGCTGCTTTATTAAATACGTTTTACTGACATCTGATCATTCTGTTGGCATTTCCTTGAGCGTAGCCCCATCTAGTGGATGCATTGTAGATTGCGTCTTATAATGCGATGCGCCCAATGTATGATAAAAATTACAAAATAGGCCAGAAAAAAAAATGGATCTTTGACGTCTACAGCCGTCAATGGCAGGGAATGATATTAAAACTTGATATCAAGGCTGGTCCAAAAATACAAACTGCTAAAACAGCTTTCCAAACTGTGCTTCCAGTGTGACGCCGGGCGAGGCCTCTGCTTCCTCGGCCATGAGTATGGCGGCGGCGGACGACGACCAGGCTCTGGAGGAGCGTCTGGCCAAGAGGGAGGAGCGAAGGCAGAAGAGGATGCAGGAGGCCATCGAGAGGCAGAAGGAGTTGGACCCGAGTTTCGCTGCGGCCAACGGGCTGGGCGAATCACCAGAAACTCGGGCGGACGATGACGACGACGGAGGGAGGCCGAGAGATCAGAAAGAGGAGAAGGAGGATGATGGGGAGGAAGAGGAACAAGTCCAAGAGGACGTGCTTGACGCAACCTCTTGGAAGAAGGCGGAAGATGATACAAAGAAAGAGGAAGAGGTAATAAGCTGGTTCCAGACACCAATTATGTATTTATGTCTCTTTGCAAATTGTGGCGCTGAACTCATGTTTTTGATGTGTTCCGGGTAGACGCCGAGCACAAAGCAATTAAAAAGTACACTAAGATCTTGGAAGCTGTTGTTCATAAAATCCGCTCGACCCTTAGCAGACGTGTTCACATTTGCGTGTATCTCAAATCTTTTGATAGGAGCCGGTAGAGGTGTTGATCACGCTCACCTCCAGAACGGAGGTTTGTTCTTTCATCCAAACTCTTTAGTTAACTCCTCCCGCTAACTCTGGAAAAGTGAAACAAAAAACAAAAAACAAAAACGCTTCTTTCGCAGGATGAGGCTGAAGCTGAGGAAGCGGAGGCGGCTGCTCCTGCTGTTGATGAGGAAGCAGAAAGCGAGCAAAGGAGAAGGGAAGTAGAAGAGGAGGAGCGGCGGCAGAAAGAAATGGAGGAAAAGCGGAGGATAGAGGAAGAGAGGCAGAAAAAAGAGGAGGAGGAGGAGGAGAGGAAGAGAAAAGAAGAGGAGGAGAGACAAGAACGGGAAATGGAGGAGAGGAGGAAGAAGGAAGAGGAGGAAGCGCAAAAGCGGGAGCTGGAGGAGAAACGCCGGAAAGACGAGGAAGAGGCGGAAAAGCGAAGACGACGGGAGCTGGAGGAGGAGAAGAAACGGAAGGAGGAGCAGGAAAAGCGGGAGATGGAGGAGAAGGAGAGGAAAGCGGAGGAGGAAAAGCGGCAGAAAGAAGCCGAGGAGGAGAGGAAGAAAAAGGCGGAGGAGCAGAAGAGGAGAGAGACGGAAGAGAGGAAGAAGAAAGAAGAGGAGGAAAAACGGAAAAAGGAAGCCGAGGAGAGGAATAAAAAAGACGAGGAGGAGAAACGCAAAAAGAGGGAGATGGAGGAGAAGAGGAAGAAAGAGGAGGTTTGACGCTTTGATTATTTACGATGTACATTTGACCAAATATCATGTAAGTCAATGTGCAGTACAATGCGCATACACTACTGATTATATCACTATTATATTTAAAGGACGACAAGCTAAAGAGAGTGGGGATCAAAGATAAGGTAAAGACATTCTGTGAGTTTAAAAGAACATTTGACATAAAAAATGAAAATCATATATATATATATATATATATATATATTTTATAATGTTGTTTTTTTATTTAATTATTGTGTTTTTGGACCTACAATTTGTCCTGTTTTTTTGCCCCCAAGAATGCAGCAACCAAACCGAATGGAGCACTAATTGAGAATAAACTGAAAAAACCTGACAAGCTATCCAGGTAAAACGACTCCGAGAATTTGCCGAATATGATAATCGCAAAATTTTATTTGTTTATTTATTTTTGGGGAGGCACTCGGGCCAAGTCACTTGATTTTGACTATAAATCAATACTGTAATCTGAAAGCATGTCTAATGTGTTGTCTTGTATTATTTTGTCATTTTATGTTAACCTTTCTTTTGATGGCGGCGCGGGCACCCGCAGCGCCTCCTCTTGTTGTATGTTGTGAGAGGGAAGAAACAACAAAATTGTACTTGATACTTGATGTCAAAATGCAAGTCACAAAATAATCCACACTTGTTTGATTTTTTTTTTCCCGAAGTTGTTGAAATGCGCCACATTAGCGATGCGACGAATGTAAGAGTCTGACTTTGTAAAACTCACCTATTTATTCTTGTAAAAGTCTGACTTTATCCGTGTATGACTGACATTTTACTTTCGACATTATGCTCATACTCTTACGACTATGATTTGTTCCTTGCCGAATCACAAATTGGATTGTGAGCGTTCTCGCAAAATCTGGAATACGCTCTCGTCAAACCTCAAACTTTCTTTTTGTAAAGTGACACTTTTCTAACCGGCAGGGACGACGTTCCCTCGACGGGGTCGGACGCCTCCGAGCGGCAGGAGGCCGAGCGCAAGCTGCAGGAGCTCCAGAGACGGCGGAACGACGCCCAGAGCGAGGAGATGGAGAAGATGAAACAGAAGCAGCATCACGCCGAGGCCGAGCTGGAGGAGCTGAAGAGGAAGAGGGAGGAGAGGAAGAAGGTCCTCGGGGAGGAGGAGAAGCAGAGGAAGCAAGATCTGGAGGACAAAAAGAGCAAAGAGCAGGTGAGGAGGAACTCTTGTGACTTTTGGGGTGCTTCGGCCGCAAGTGTGCCAGCGTGGATGTCTGCGCCGCAGGAGGAGAGGAAGAGGATGAGGGAGGAGATTGAGAAGAGGAGAGCGGAGGCTGCGGAGAAGAAGAAACAGCTGGAGCAAGAACCCGTGAAGCCCTCGTTCACCATCACCCCCAAAGGTTCATCCAAGGTAAGCGATGTGTCCCCGGCAATCGCGCGGCGGGAAACCGTGGACAAAAGGGGGGGGACGGAATGGGCAAACGTGACGAGCAGTGAACGTCCGGCGAGATTTGTAAAACGTCTAAATATTTTGTCTGCACTGTAGCGCGGCATCTCAGACTTGCGGGCCGACAACGCGACTAAATTTAAGTCATGTGGTTTATTTTTCTACAATGACCTCATGTGGAATTTAGTCTTGTAAATGACCTTTTTTTTTTCTTGGCAGATTCCGATTGGCATACATTTTATTTTTGTATGATTTTGGACAAAAAAAAACAGATTCTTTGCTCATTATACTATGACTTTATTTTTAATAATATAATTTCAAAATTATAATTCATGTTTTTTCTTGTAATATTACAAATTGATGTACAACTGATTATGACGGCTTTTGGGGACAAATTTTCCTCTCAGACCATATATATATGTGAATCATGATTTCTTTTCGAAAAAAAATCATTTTTTAAACTTGTATTCTATAATTACTTGTATTATATATTTAGATATAATTATTTCATTCCTGTAGTTACAATTGTCCTCAGATAACGTTTTTAATTTTGTATGTTTGCAATTATTTTCTGAGGGGAAAAAAAAATCCTCATCGCATTAAGTTTTTTTTTTTTTTTTTAGCGTGTAAATTAACATATTGTACAATGTAATAGTCCGACTTTCTCATACAAGTGCGGCTTTTTTTGGGGTGGGGGGAGTAAAAAAAAATCTGTATCATATTAAGTCTTCATAAAATGTCGACTATTTTCCTCATAAAAAAATGCTTACTTTATTCTTGTAAAGTGACGACTTGATTCTCTTTGAAATTTCTCATGAAAAATGTTTCTTTTGTGAAAAAGTATTTTTGGCCAACATGTAACAGCTCCATTTTTGATTTTATTTATTTATTTATTTATTTATTTTATTGTAATAGAATTCATTCAACTCCAATTTCTAATTCATTGTTGTCGAATCCTAACTTCATTCTCATCAAATTCAGACTTTTCCTCTGAACATTTGAGCTTCCAAGTTACTGGGCTCACTTACTCAAAGTAAATGTCACGGAGTCAACAGTTGTCCATCTCACTGGGGCTTGTTGTACAACATCGAGAGACACACTTGCAAATGTTTGCGCTCAACTTTGCGTCGACCGCTTGCAACTGGCGTCCAGATGTTCTTCCAAGCACTCGAGCAAGCAACAAACATTTCAAGCGGCGCTTCAAAATGATTCACACAAGCTGGCCACCGTCTCAGTTCAGGAGAACACAACGTTCCCCCGAATCAAAAGCGACCGCCTGGCGGCAGACGAAGTCAGACTGTTCGACAATCCGCAGGGCGACGCGAACCTGCTGGCAGCTGACTCGATTCGTGTCGTAACGGCGCGTTATTGTTTTTCGCAACAGATTGGGGAGAAGGCGGAATTCTTGAGCAAGTCGGCGCAGAAAAGGTGAGAATTTGGGGGATCGTTTGGACACGGGGCAGGTGTGCCTAATGAAGCGTCCCCATGAGTCTGACTTTTGCTGCCCGGGGTCCAGCGTGAGAGCGTCGCACGCCCCTATCGTCTCCAAGATCGGAAGCAGACTCGAACAGTACGCCTCGGCCGTGCAGGTGATGCTCCACCTTATGTTTTTTTTTTTGGAGACCATCTTTATCCTCATGCGACTACAACTGCTATCCCGTATTATGACATTATTTTTGATTGCTCAATCAGATGATTTTCCTCTATTTTAATGCTTTCATTTTTTTCTTGTATTTACTTTTTAAGTGCATTTGCATTTCATTTTTAAACACTGATTGTTTTGAAACAGTTGAAGTCGGACAAATTAAACCTTTTTCTTGTTTTGTTTTTTAACTTTATTCCCCATACAAATGTGACCGTTTTTTCTGGAATAAAAAATATCTTATTCCTGTAAGATCAAACTCAGGTTTCTGCAATATGATTACTTTGTTGTCGAAAAAATTTTTTTTGTGTGTGTTTCATATTACAGCTCTATTTTTGCAATATGACTTTTTCTTGTTGAGAGGTTCTGGGCAAAAAAAAAAAAAAAAAGTTTTTTCTTCACAATATTACAAATGGATTCTCATAATTCCAAAAACCACCAGCCATCTTCTTTTCTTTCCGCAGGGGAACAAAGATGTGAAATCCCCCAAACCTCTCATGGCTGACATCCCCTCAGGGGGCACGCGTAGCATCAAGAGCATGTGGGAGAGTGGCAACGTGTCCGAGACTCAAGCAAATAAGGTGCTAACCCTGGAAAAGCTTCACCACATCCCTGATTATGAAATACAGTGTTGCCTGAGGTTACGATTTTACAATTTACAAGGGTTTGGAATTCACATCGCGTCTGTTTCAGTGCGGCATCCGCCGCCATAATTGTCACTAGTTGCTAAGCGCCCTAACAGGAAGTAGCCTGGTGCCTCTTCCTGCTTGTTGACTTCCCGAGTGTTTTTTTTCTAACCATGAATTCCTCATTTCTAAGCATGAGGACAGATACTTAGCAATGGAATCAGATATTGTGTAGTTATTTATGAAAGTCAGCGAGCTTAATGCTAAAACATCAAGCAAAAAACCTTCGATGGGCTAATAAAACTAGCATCAAGATCGCAGTTGTTATAAACCTCCAAACAACTGATTTTGACTTGAAAATAGCTAATATTAATTGATCTTAAGTACGAGGGTTATTAGAAAACGTGGTTGGTGTTTTTCAGGGGTTGGAACAGATCATTGGCTTTTGCATTCAATTCAATGGGGAATACTGATTTGGGATATGACGGTTTTAAATTGCGGGTATTGCCATGAAACGAATTAAGCTTGTAATTCAAGGTACCAATCCCCCCCCCCCTCCCACCCCACCCTAGGATACGGTGTCTATCAAAGGAAACGTCGCCAGCCGGATGGCGAAAGCCGCGCAGGCCGAGAAGACGGCGCCTCCAGCGTCCGAACCGCCACCAGAGGCAGCGGTGGCGACAAAGCCTGCAGCGAGGCCCGAGAAATCCCAGCCTTCTGCACAACCACGCACAAATGTAAAATATCCGCCGCAACACTGTCATTGTTGTGATATGATGTACACAGTCAACATCAGGTTTCAACATTACACGATGCAAAACGGGAAATTCTTGTGAGGTGGATGTATGCCAAAGTCTCTCACCATCAACAAGGTTACTGTAGTTAATGAAAGCCAACGGAAAAAAAAACAAAATAGGAAAAAACATTTTTGCTAAAGCACTACTCCAGAAATAAAAATGCTTTAAAAAAATGAATCACCATCCTCGGTCTTTGCACACACAGTTTGTTTCCCAGCTGTCACATTGACACGGTCAGCCGACTTAGTTGTGAACATGATGTAACGCCACCCCACCCCCACCTCTACACTGGGTATATGCAAAAGGCTGTTGCGTCAGGGTTCTCGAAGCTGAACACGGCTGCATATGGTCAACTCTTGCGTCCACATCCTCCCCACCCACAATGTCAACTTTATGAGCGATATCTTTAGCCTCCCAGCCAATAAGCTTGTGCTTCTCTCGTGAGGCAACACTCCCCCCTGTTGGAAATCTGCACTCATCGACTACTACATGGACCTTTTTTTTTTCTTCTTGGAAACCCCAATGACAGCACAGAATGTCCCTGGAGTGGACAAGATTGTGTTTGCCATAATGTCGGATTTTGAAGATCCGATCAATGACGTCATTAACCGACCGGCAAATATTTTGTTGGTGAGGCTGTAGATTATGCTGCCAAAAGGTGGCCACTCTCTTGTATTATTCTCAACAATAATAAAAATGTACTTCATCACATCATTTGTTCGTGCTAGGAATCACTTTAGGGGAAAAAAAAAGCAAAATCCCGGCTCAATAAGCAATTTTTGTTTTGACTTGTCACAGGATGTGAATAAGCAAAGTGATGTTGGGAACAAGCGCAACATGTGGGAGACCAAGAAGAGTTCCACGCCAGCCAAAGTAACACTCACACACACACACTTGCACACTCGCACGCGCGCGCACACACACACACACACACACACACACACACGCACACTCACACAGCAGCCGCTTCTATTAGTTGCCAACACGTTTTTTTTTAATGTTATTAAAATTCTTCACCTGATGAATAAATTGCGCTGTGCTCTTGCAGGTGGTGGTTGGAGTCAAAAGCAAATTTGCCTAAAAGTAAGTTTCTTATTGATCATTACTGTGATTGACTATAAAAAAATAAGTTGTGTATCACACCGCGTGTATCTAGAACCGTATCGAATCGTCTGTTGTGGCAGCCCTAATCGGAACTGCAGTGAATCCTTTTCCGTCATATCGTAATTGGAGTCATTTGCACGGCGTCGCATTGGGAGTAACTTCATACGAATCGTGTTGCATCTGTCACGACTCTTAATGCGGAAATTTTGCGTGACCTTAGTCTAAAAGAAGCGTCATCTCAAACAGTGCCAACCGGCGCTACTATATCGACCTATCTTGGTATCATGTGATTAGAATAGCTGCCGCATTGAATGTATGTACTTATGCACATCGGAGTCCTTCAAAAGACCCGTGGCTGATTTACGGCTCTTCCCCTCAGAGCCACGTCAACTCACCCAAGTCTTTTGTGTCTTTTGAGTGGTCGTCCACTGGAAATGAAACCACTCTAAATTTAAAACAAGCCTTGACCTTGTTTCCCAGTACTGTACACACACACACACACACACACACACACACACACACACACACACACACACACACACACACACACACCCACACACACAAAAAAAAAACCCTGATCCGCGTGACAACTTACATTGCGTCGCTGATGACGAACTGGAGCCTGATCTAACGCGGAGCCGTCCACAGCTTTGCCACGCCGTC